TTGCAAACAATCACCTTCCTCAGCTTCAGAGTTCCAGCTCTAGAGGGCAGCACGGTGTGGACAGAGGGCGAAGACTTGTGGGAAAAAGTGATAGTGACATTCCTCATAGTTCACTTCCAGGTCTCTTCCCAAGCTGACTCACAACCTCCAAAATAAGGTCAAATACCCAACAGGGGTGCACTTGCACCACACACAGTTTACAAAGTGTGCCAGGATCTTTGATTCGGACCAGGTGCCCTCCCCACAGGAGCAGGTGAGGAGGCCACTCCCCGCTTTTCCAATAGTAATAAGTAAGCCTGTGGTCTGAGCAGTACAGGAGGTTGGCTGGGAAACGGTCCACTGCTACCGTGGGGCCAGGCCTGTCTCATAGCCCTCCGTCTTCATGTCATTGAGCCCTAGCTCCTCATTTTGGTCAAACGTGCGCTTATAACGTTCCACCTTCATCTCCGGATCGTCTTCAGGTGCATACACATTCTGGAAGGCCAAGGACAGATCATCAGTGCCCATACCACCCTGCTATCCTCCCTCCCCAGGCTGCTTCCAATGCCCACTTTCTCCAGGACTCTTGAGTTTTTTACTCTAAGCACCAATTCCCCATGACTAGGCTCAACTAGTGGGAAGCAACAGAGGCCACATGGGCCAGGAGTAGAATTAGGGAACAGTCCACCTAAAATACTTTCTACCTGCACCTTCTTATGAAGAGTGTAATAACAGTCTTAATCATGGAAGGACCTTAGAACAGTTTTGTCTGACCCATAATAACTGTTCATTAAATATTAATGTTACTGTCAATCACCAGAATATCTCCCCAGTCAATTTAACGCCTTTCAGTTTTCCTATATTGGACAAGGGACCATTTCTCCTCACTCCACAATTAGACTTGCAGAATGAAAACATCATCATTGGACTTAGAGCTGGGGAGAACTAGACTATAGGAGGAAGGAGCCTAGAAGTATCCTTTTTTCCCTCTTGACACACTTACAACCCCTCCTACATTCCCCCCTTTCTCCCTTATGTGCTAAGTTCCGCTAAGAGATTCCTTGATAAAGAGCAGTTCATTTAGAACCAAGTCTCAGTTTCTGAAGAAATGATACATGTTCAAGAAAAGTCAGAAAACATATCTCCATGAAATATAAGGAAAGGTCTACTGTACCTGCAAGTAGCTGTTTCCTGCTGGATCATTCATAATAAAGTGGGCCTTCATTTTACCCTCCATGATCTAAAGAGGAGAGAATATAGTATGTAAATTTTACAAAGCATGGAGAAGCTAAGTCTACCAGATGAGAATCAAGCCAATTTACACTGCAGTATGCCCAAGTTTCATGAACTGGTGAAATGAGGTACTTCTAAAAGTAGAGTGGAAAAGATCTAAAATAAGAATTGTTTACACCCAGCTGGTGTGGCTCAGTGGTTGAGTGTTGACCCATGAACCAGGAGATCAGGTTTGGATTCCCATTTAGGACACATGCCCGGGTAGGGGACATGCAGGAGGCAGCCAGTCAATGATTCTCATCATTGATGTTTCTATCCCTCTCTCCCGCTCTCCCTTCCTCTGACATCGATTTAAAAAAAGGTATTAAAATAATAAATAAGAACGGTTTGATATTATTTAAGAAACAATTTTACATCCCCAATTTCAACTCCCACTCAAAACAGGCCAACTTCTATCCCAGAAGACTGAAGGATTGCCCTTCCTCTACCCCAGCAGAAGACTGAAGGATTCAGTGAAGATACCACAACACACTATGGATTGGGGTCATGGCCCAGTTGAGGGTGGAGGGGAGGGAATCAAGACAGGAGATTAAATGAATGTACCCTTATTGGAAACAGACATACCCCAGCCCTCTTCCCAGAACACCTGAGCCCAAGAAATGGAGCACCCCGACGGGAACCTGACCAGCCTAAGAAGAAAGAGCTAACTACTCTGGCTTTGGCGCGACCTCAACGAGGCCAAACTAAATCCCTTACAATGAGCCCAATGTCGGCAAAACACCGCCACTCGGGTTTTTTAGTCTTCTACTTTTAAGTAGACAACCAATGATTACCAGACATCAAAGCCCCTAATATTGAAAGACAGACATTTACATGGAAAACAAAAACAAAAACAAAGAACAACTTAGAGGAAATGGAAACAATGCAAGGAAAATAAAGTGCCAAAAAAAAGCCCAACATTAATATTCTCAAGAAGAAAAAAATGCTACATCCTTATACTATTTTCTAAAAAGGCAGAGGAAGAGTATTCAAAGACCAAAAAAAGCTCTTGGAAAATAAAAATGTTAGTGAAAATGAAAACGTCAACTAAAAGATTGGAAAATAAAGTTGAGGTAATCTCAAGTAGAGAAAACACAAAGAAGCTGAAGACTGGACAAAGGATAAGTACTTTACAGAAGACCAGAAAGTCAGTCTAATATTCCAAAACACAGGGTTTTAGAAGGAACAGAAAGGAAGCAATTCTCAAAAGGATCACCTTAAAAAGCTTCCTATAACTGAGCCACATGAGTTTCCAGATTCAAAGGACCTACCAAATGCTTAGCACAGTGGTTGCAAACTGACCCCTAACCAAAGCACATCCTGGAATTTCACATCAGAGGGACAAAGCAGTACAGGAACAGGTCACATACAAAAGATCAAAAATCAAAATGCCTGAAGACTTCGAAATAGCCAAACTGGAACGTGGAAGACATTAGAGCAATGTCTTTCAGATTCTGATGAAAAATTATTTCCATCCTGGAATTCTATTCCCAGCCATTAATCAATGTAGGGTGACGGGATCCTTGAATAAAGAAATTTCCAGACATGTAAGGTCCTAGAAATCTCACTTCCCATGCACTTTCTCAAGAAACTAGTGGAGAAGATCCTCCAACAATATAAGGGAGGAAACTGAGAAAGAGGATGACATGGGACATGGAAACCAGGAGAATCCCCAACACGCTGGTTAAATGTTTAAAAGGGAGCAAGAAAGGGTAGGCAGCCTCTCGTTCACTGGAGCCCCGGGACCACAAGACTGACCAGCCAGAGTCCTCTCACCTGGTCCAACTTCTGGCTAAACTCCTGCAGTTTGTCCACCTGGCCAGGATTGGAACTGTCACCCAGTGTGAAAGGGTTCTTGGTCACCTGCAACAAACGTCATCCACACTGCTGTACGCTGGCTCTGTATTATAGGTTTGACCATAAGCCTGGTCGGGGTGGAAGTTAAGCCAACTTCTGGTACAACTCCTGCAGCTTGTCCAGTCGGGGAAGCATGGTCTTCATTTATCCCATAACCACCTTTCTGTTTATTCCTAAAAGCTTATGGATTAATCTGCCAAGGTGGCAACTGGCCGTGTGAAACAAACTATAAACATGTTCTTAAAATATGAGTGAGCCCTAGTCCTAATTTAACAAGAAATGCAAAGTATAATTTACAAAGACAAAATGCCTAACGACTGAGAATTAAATGAAATGATTCATCAGGAGGACAAATATACGGGCTAAGTCAACAATGCATATGTATGTTGGGGAGTTTTAGATGCTGAAAGGACCCTCACCTCTCATTTTACAGTGAAATGAAAACCACACATGTCTGAGTTAAGGCCTAGGAATTCCCAATCAGAATTTCCCATAAACTTATCTTCACAATCCAAAATAAATTTAAGTCTCTTAAATCAGCTTTAAGGCAAAGAAACCCCATTATCAGCTCCCAAAACTAGGACATGTGAGGTCCCCTAGCCCCTCCCCACAGCAGCACTGCTGAAGTAGCCATGCACTACTCACCAGGTCCCGGATGTCTTTCAGCAACCCCTCCAGTGTGGTGAACTTGCCCCCAAAGATAGCCATTCCCAACTCAAATTCCAGTTCTGGGATTTCCACACTGCACGTCTCAGACTGTGAGATGAGAGGTCAGCGTAAGCTCTAAATCAGGAGCCACCAGAGAAAGCTAACCAGAGTCCTCTGCCACATTAATACCGCCTGTGACAGTTTGGGGACAAAGTCAACTGTCCCCGTTTTCTGACTTTCTAGTTAAAGCTAGACTCACTCCTATCCTATATACCACAGGAATGGAACCAAACTAATAAAGGGACACTGAGTCATGGCTCCAAGCTGCCAGGTATCCTGTCATCAGAGGCCAGAGACAAGAGCCTCATAGATACTGCGGGCAAACAGCTGCCCACTCATCAGAAAGAGCTTGTGGGTCGCCTTCTGAGCCTCCACTCACAGAAGTAAGGAGGCACCACACAGCCCCAAGACATCATTTAAAAAGACAATTTCCCCGAGAGCTGTTACCTTGAGCAGGTCTCTGGTCATATCTGAGGGGTCTGTGATACGGAGTGTGATCCTGGTGCCCAAGGGCTCTACTGCTCCTCCAGATTTCACCTGCAGACAACAGGAGTCAGCAACAGCAGGAAGACCCCGAGCCGAGCCTCGTGCCCAGCAGACCTCATAGGGTCGGCTTGGACCACCAATCAGGCCCGCTAAAGGCGACCAAGCACAGAGCCTTCTAAATCAACAGTAGCAGCAGTCATCCAAATAAAAAACACTGAGAGTGCGTGTTTAAAAAAATGATTATTGCGATTTGAAAGGGACATTCAATTGCATCAAACATGTGAATCCCCTTTATAATATTCTGGCTTAAGAATTTAACAGCTTATGCTTGAATAGACTCAGGGAGAGGGAATTTACAGCCCTCCAAGGCAGCCCATTCTATTTTTATGAACTTAGAAAATGTTATTGAGTCAAAATCTGGCTCCTGTTCCTTAAAACCAAACTTTAAAATGTCTCAAATGAGCGTGCTTATGGGAGGCAGCTGATCATTGTTTCTTTCACATCAATGTTTCGCTCTCTCCCTCTCCCCCTCCCTTCCTCCCTTCCTCCCTTCCTCCCTTCCTCCCTTCCTCCCTCCCTCCCTCCCTCCCTTCCTTCCTTCCTTCCTTCCTTCCTCTAAAATCAATGGAAACATGTCCTTGGATGAGGACAGAGAGAGGGAGGGAGGTCTTAAACAAGTTATGATTAGGTAGATAGAAGATAAACAAGTTATGATTATCTCTAACTTTTCTCCTCTAAGCCAATTCCCAGTTCCTTCAATGGCCCCTCACCCTACACTAAGCCTAAGAGAAAGACCCATCCCCCACTCCCCTCATCCCAAAGCAGATTTAAGAAGGCTGAAGGTTAGAGAGGTCACCCTCAAGTTAGTCCTCCCAACCAATGGAGCCCTCACCTCATTGGTCCGATGACCGCAGTACTCGCAGTTGGTAGCCATGATGATAACCTCCTTAAAGTGGGGGATTTCTGGAGCTGGAGTTAAGGGAACCTGCTTCAAGGATACCAAGACCACCCTCTGAGAAGAACAAACCCAAACCCAAACCCTGGTCCCAGGACTACAGGAAACAGATCTCAAGCAGCAGCCCTACTCCTCCAGAAGAGGGCAAGGTCACAACCCACGGTGACTCCTGTTCACAAAGGTTGGCCCAGGCCACTCGCAGGAGCCAAGACTACAGTCCAATTCTCTCTGTAGACCCAGAAGCCAAGGTGTGCCTCATCACAGGCAACGTCCTCATCACTCAGAATGAAACGTGTTTTCCATGAAGGCAGTGGTCTCCTCCAGCCTGAAGATAATCTTCACATCCGAGACAGATGAGGAGCAACCCAACTGCCTGACGAAAGATACGAACTAGCTTCATGTTGGTCTGAGCTGGAGCATTGCATTCTGGGCAGTTTGTATTGAACTGCAGCACCTGGAACACAACATGGGGATGCCGGGGTGAGCCCTCCCTGGCAGGTGGGCCCTGTCAGGCTAAAGCATTCAGTTGGTACGCGGTGGTCGCCTGTGTTGGTGGAGAGGAAGAGAGCCACTGAACAGCATCAGTCTCAGCTCACAACTCTGCTCCTTCCTCCACAGTAGCCAATGGGACTCACTTCATTTCTGAGATCTTCCTCTTGCGGCTTCTCTTCTGGCGCCTCTGCCTGAAGTAGCAGAGATGCAAATCACATGTTGTACGTGTATCTCAGCCCCCGACACCCTGCCTTGGAGCGCGGGAAAATGCCACCTCATGAGTTTAACAGAGAAGCTAGAAAGCAAAGCCCCAATCAAGGGAAGAACAGAGCTTAAGGAAAGGCCAAAGCTACTGCCATCCTTTATTGTAACGTGCACCCTAAGCCCTGACAGGAGCTTGATGGGAAGCACACACATGCTGATATAGGTACACAGGGCAGCAGCAGCAAAGTTTCCACCAACTCCTCTCTGGCTTCTCCAGCTCGCTTACCTGGAGCCCCAGCATCTCCTCCTGCTGCGAAGTCCGGTTATAATGTGTGATCACCAGGGCGTCATCTTTCTGGGGAGCATGTGGGTTTTCCACGAAGCTGTTCCCTGAGGGGTCATCAATGATCTAACAGACGGGTGAAGAGTAATTATAAGCCATGTACAATCCTCCACCTACCATCAGCCCACTCAGGCACCACAGTGGAAAAATCCCAGACAGTCTTAATGGTTTCTTCTCTCTTAAATCGAGGCACCTAGACACCCTCAATACTCACCAGGGTGAAAGGAGAGGCCACCTGCTTCAGCTCTTTCAGTTTGACAATGAACTCATCCAGTCTTTCAGCGACGGCTTCTTCATTTGCCTGACAGGAACCGAGAGTAAAAGTATCAGCCCTGGTCATAGACCTTTATGCCCTCACTTCCTGTCGTGCCCGAGTCACTTCCATCAGGAAATCATCACCTTAGCGTGAGTGGGAACAGAGAGACTCAGACTTCACAAGAAGATGTAGCACATAATTTGAAGTTTATGGGTGGTGCCAGATGAGCCTCATTTTCTCACTCATTCAACCCTTTAAACCAGGCTAGGTTAAATATCTGAGTCCCCTCATGGGGCTCCCCAGCTAGTTAGGAAGACAGATGACTAATACGTAATTACATCACTTCTGTCATAATAAACAGACAGTGGAACACTCAGAAAGCATAGCTAAACCCAAGGGAGGACTGGCTCTTCATCGGTAATGATACATAGTCTGTTGGTGGCGACAGGCCTGAATATACACTAGCCAAGGCGAAGTGGAAAGAACAGTAGATGTTCTGTATGCAACACCCTAGCAGCTATGGCATCGCCATATGCTTCCCCTCAAAGTCTTCCCGTCAGACAGTCCACCTAGTGGAAAGCTGAACACTCTATTCAGACGCATGTAAGTAATTCTTCCTTGAGCTGCTGCAATCAGAATACCCCAGCTCACCCTTCGAGTGGGCTGGTCCTGCTCCAGGCCAGAGATGGCTCGGCTGATCAGTCCTTCAACAGTGGTCAAAGCTGGGAATAAGAACAAAGGACAGGGGAGTCTGGGCTCAGCTCTCAAGTGCCTGTGTGACTTCGGGCAATTCATGTGACCTCCTTGGGCCTTGAATTCATCTGTAAAATGAGGCTAGCCACAAAGTTCCATTCAGCTCTAACAACAGTGATGACAAAACCCTGTAAGTAAACACCATCTCAAACTGCTTTAGCTAAGTGTTCTGCTGACGGTCAGTCAATGAAGACCCCAACGATTACCAAACCCATACACAGCCACTAGACCTGGCCGGGGTTTTACAAGAAAGTAAGGGTCCAGCTACGCATAAGCAGCCCAAATACCTGACCTTGAGCTTACCTCCCTTCTGGCTGAAGGCAGGAATTTCAAAATCTAACTCTGGAATCCTTGTGGTGGCCGAGTCCGTCTTCACCACTTCCCGGTTCATGTCCTGGTCAGAGAAGCAGGTGCAGGCCAGAGAGGTCAGAGGTCAGCAGTGTCCCCCAGGGAAGGCCAGGCTGCCCTCCATCAGACCCGGCTGCCCACGTGGGGCGAGTCCCCCACCTAGGTCCTGCTCACGTGGCGCCTTCTCAACAATGTACAAAGCCCTTCCACACGCCTCACCTGGTCGGCCTCCCACCTGGACAGCCTCGGCACCGGCCCCACTTTGTTTGTAAGGGGACAGGGAGGCGTGGACACGCAGGGGATTCACTCCGCCCGGGCCCGCCGCCCGCCCCGCGCCGCGCCAGGCTCTCACC